AGTGCTGGGATTACAGGCATGAGCCACCACACTTGGCCAAGACCTTATCTTTAAAACAAGAAAGAAAAAAAGAGGCAAAGTGTGGTGGCTCACACCTGTAATCCCCACAGTTTGGGAGGCCAAGGCCAGTGGATCACTTGAATCCAGGAGTTTGAGGCCCTCCTGGGTAACATGGCAAAACCCCGTCTCTACTAAAAATACAAAAATTAGCCAGGCATGGTGGCACACGTCTGTCATCCCAGCTACTTGGGAGGCTGAACACAGGAGGTAGAGGTTGCAGTGAGACGTAGCACTCCAACCTGGGCAATAAGAGTGACACTGTTTCAAAAAAATAAAAATAAATAAATTAAATTAAAAAGGAAGTCTTTGAAATAGACATAGCTGTAGTCCCTACATGTTCAAAAAAGTCCACCCTGCAAATGGCATTTTCCTTTGAAAAATTCCATCTAATTCACCCTGACTTTCTTACCCCTGTAGATATTGTCACCAACTATAAATGGAATGGGCTACAGTTTTAGGTCAATTTGGCCTTAAAACTTGGGCAACAGAAGGAAACCTGGTCAGGCTGTAGTTAGTTACACTTATTCACGTGGTCATTCTTCAATGACCACTGCCGAGCGAAGCAAGGTTTTGTACATCCACGACACCTGAGGCTGAAGTGCCTTGTGATGCAGATTACTGGGGGCTTTGCTTTAGATAGAGAAGCTTTGGTATCCCTGAGAAATGCCCACTCTGTCAGAAATAAAGGTGGTGATATCTTAGCCTGAATAAATTACTTCCAAGAGAGCATGTGGCATATCTTTCTGGATTTAGCCCCGCACCCTCGCACTGCTCATCAGAGGTTTTTTTCTGACACACACGGGAGAGGCTAAGTGATTGAACCATCAGTGAACGGAGCTCTATAGATACATCACCCTTCTGGGTCTTTGGAGCCAATAGTGGAATAGTTTTCTTTTAAACCCTGTTCAGATTGAATTTGGCTCATTTCTTCCTTTCACTCGTCCAGGGTGGAAAGACAGAGAGAGTACTTGCAGTTTCCACTCACTAGTAGACAAGCATAATAATAATCAAAGAACATGAAACTGAAGCCAAAACCTTTGCCAGACGAAGAGAAACAAATTGCACCGAAAATCATCCCAGACTTCCTGGCGGCTGCAGCGGCAGCTCTTGTTATTGTATTTCTCAGTCCCATCTTTCTGTTTTTCTTATGGCAAATGTCACATTGTTGACTTTCCATCGTGTAATGTCAAAAAGAATGATCATTAAGCAACCTTTTGAAAAAACAAACATCTTTACTTGGTGTGTGAAAGATCTGGAATAAAGAAATTTCTGAGAATGATTTCTGCACATTTCAGTGAAGTGGGCACTTAAAGGCAATGTTATTCTGAAAGTTGACTGTGAGAAACTGGTTGCGTTACTTTGTGTCAAAACCATACGCAATGAAGGTTGATGGTTTTCCCATTGTTTTATGGGCAGAAAAACATGTTATGCGTCGCTAAGGATTGTGACAGAAGCTTCAGAAGGGGCATGGTAGGAGCCAGTCTGAGCCTCAGGGCTTAGAACCCCGCGCCGCGGACACCATCCTGGAGTGTCAGAAAGTGTGGTCTTTTTTTAAAAAAATTAATTGATTATATTTCATTGACAGATACAAGTGTGGCTTCTTGCCCAATCCCAATGTTTATGTATTTTCTTTCATAATAAATATGCATGTGTCACTGACAAGCTAGGAAAGCAGTCAGTAGGTCTTCCCGCTTCCCACCCCACCCCACCCCGCTTGGGGACAGAGGAAACCAATGGGAAGGCTTTTCCCCTTTTCCTCCGTCTCCAGTTGGTACTGGTGTCATCGCTTTTATCCGGCTAGCTATGCTCATCTTTCCTTTCTTCCTGACCAGGCTCCTGAGATGGCTCTGTGAATTTTCTTGTATTTTTGTGGAAATAATCCAGGAATCAGCCCAGCATGTTGGCTCATGGGTGTAATTCCAGCACTTTGAGAGGCCACGGTGGGAGAATCACTTGAGGCCAGGAATTTGAGATCAGCCTGGTCAACATAGTGAAACCCCATCTCTACTGAAAATTAAAAAACGTTAGCAGGGCTACAAGTAGCACCTGTAATTCCAGCTACTTGGGAGGCTGAGGCAGGAGAATCACTTGCATCCAGGAGGCAGAGGTTGCACTGAGCCGAGATCATGGCACTGCAGTCCAGCCTGGGTAACAGAGATGGAGATTCTGTCTCAAATAATAGCAGTAATAATCATCATCATCCTCATCATCCATGGAGCAGTGGTGACATCCATGAAGAATCCCATCCACTGCGTTTCTGTTCACTAGTGTCTCTTAACATAGGAGTTAGCTAGGCGAAGAGGTCTTGAAGGAGTATTCTCTGGGAAGAATAGACAAGATGGTTGCAGAGAAGGGGAGATGATGGGACAAGAGAGGAGACAGATGGGGCCATACAGGCTGACCTTGTGGGCTACATGGAGATTATTGCTTCTGAATAACAGCTCTGGGAGGCCCCTGAAGGGCGTAACTGAAGGATGAAGGGAGGTGCTTGTAGAGGGCACCTTGTTGGCTGCAGGATGGAGAATGGATTAAAGGAGAGAACAGAGAACAGTCAGGAGAATGTTCCAAGGTCCTACAAGAGGTGGTAAAGGTTGAGTATGCAAAAATCTGAAATCTGAAATGCTCCAAAGTCCAAAACTTTCTGAGTGCTGACATGGCACCACAGGCAGAAAACTTCACATGTAAGTACTAAACACCAACTTTAATCATACATAAAATTACTGGAAATATTGTATAAGATCCCCCTTAGGCAATGTGAATAACGTATATATGAAATACACATGAAACTCATGCTTTGACTTGTGTCTCTACCAAAAGATATCTTATTATATATTTGCAAAATGTTTGAAAATACTAAAGTATCTGAGATGTGAAGCTTTTCTGCTCTGATGTATTTTGGATAAGGAATACTTCACCTGTATTCTCTTGGGTTTGGGGGTAGGCAGAACAGAGAGGATTGGTAGTGGATTATCTGAGGCAGGTGAGAGGGACGAAGACATCAAGGAAGATTTCTGGATCTTGGGATGATTATGCTATTCTCTGGAACCCAGAAAAAGAATATTTGAAAACTTGGAAAAGAATATTTACTTATTTAAAATTTTGCTTTGTTTTGGATAGAGGGCTTGCATTCTATTTTGGATGTATTAAGTTTGGGGTTCATTTTAGAAAATCAAGAGATGTCCTGAAGACAAAAGATAGCTGATTTCTCAATAACCTTGTGGGTAAAAAAAAAAATTAAGAATATAAGGTAAAATTCTAGAAATAAAATTCTATAGTGTTAAGGCGAAAATCAGAGAAATTTCCAATTCAATTTTCAAGATGCTCTTTCACATACTGTAATTTTGTGATTTTTCCAACAAATTGTGGCAACATTGATATTTTCATGCTAACTTTTGAGAGAAGGAAAGGCATGGTGGTGACAGAGGGTGGGTGGATCAAGCTTGGAGGTAGCTCTGTGGGTCGGCATGCGGGTGGGAATGGGAAGATGGTGAGGGGTTCCTTCTGAGTCATGGGATTTGCTGAGGGAAAAGAGCAACACGGAGCAGGTGAGCTGGTTCGATCCAGTCCTTGGAACCATAATAGCCAATGGCGAGAAAATACAGTGGTAGCTTAAAGGAAAACGTTTATATATTTATTTATTTTCTTCACAGTTCCTGTTGGAAGGCATACCATTTAGCTTGATTTTTAAACAGAAAGACACAAAGAGCCCCACAGTCCCTTTTAAGCTTCAATCCTTGGAAACATAACTGTTCAGATCCTTAAAATGAGTCAAATATTTTCCTACAAGAATCTCCTGTAGACCACAAAACAGAAACTAAATAAAAGTTCAGACTCTGTCTTGATATCTTTGTCTACATTTAAGTTTTCTGGTGGTGTATTTGCATGATCCAGATTTCTACAAGGAAGAGTTATCTTTCTATGGAAATTTCAAAGGTGAGTTACATATGTGGGTACTTTCCTTTTCTGCCAAAAACACACCATTAAGAATAATTGTAAATCAGGTGAAATATTTTTTTTCCTTCACATTTTAAATCATGCCATCAATTGAAACAATGGAGAATTAGGAAACAGAATTTGCTGAATTTGTGAATTTTTTTCATGAAAATTTATTTATTTATGTGTTTATTCAATTAGAGAATGAAGGCAGCAGGTAGAGATAAGCTAAATATTGTTGACTAAAGTGTGGAAGAAATATTCAAATTATTTCAATTAAACAGGGATTCCATGGCATCAAATGTCCTACATAAAATATAAAACAAAGTTTTAAATGTACAGCATGTGTCTGTCCTCAGGGCCATCAAACCGCATTTTGGTCACCTCATCTGAGAGAGCACAGGGCGTCTCCTGTGATATCTGAGTGCTGTCCTGTAGCTGAGAAGTGTCTCTCCTGAGATAGGGCTGACCCACTACTCCAAAACAATTCTCTTTCACAGAAGTGGAGCCCTTGGCTTTTCTGAGACCTTCCAGAAGCTTGTCTGTTTCTTCTGACAAAAGGGATTGTGCAATTATTAATTAATTTGTGCAATTATTAATACTCCATACATGTAGAAGCAAGATATTCTATTTGGTGTGGCCCAGTTTCAGTAGCAAGACAGTCATACTTTCCTGGGACTGAAAGATCCACGTATGTGCAGAAGACCTTTTAATGAGAGTAGGTAGAATTCCAAAGTTTATCAAATGTAAAGAAAGAACTAGAAAAGTATGTTCGTCTTTTTCTTTTCAGGAACTTATTTTTCTTATTTTCAGATTTCCTTTATCTCCTCCCCAGCTTCACCCCCACCCGTTTTCTTTGTCTGACTTGACTTTGGCATTGCCTTTTCCTATCATTTGCTCTTTCCAGTAATCCTATTCTCAGAGTTCTTTTCTTCAATCTCCTTCACAACATTTTTTCCTGTCTCCTTTCAACTGAAACTACAACCTATTGGTTCAGCCCACTGGCTTCCTAGGTAAGAAAATGTGTCTGACTCGTTGGCTAAATATAGGTGCCCCCACTGAGCTGGTTGCTTTCTTTAAAGAATTCTCAGTGGTGTCACTCAGTCACTTGTCTTTCTATTTAACCTCTTTTTTTTTTTTTTTCTAATAGATAACGTTATGCAAGTCTTATTCTGGTAGAATGATTAGTTATAACAAGGAAATGCAGAAAACTTTCCCTTGAGAAACATTTAGGATAACCTAGGTAAAGAATTACCTCTTTATTACTTCAAATAAGTATCTCACTTTACAGCTCGTCAGTGGCTCAGAGCAAAGTTGAGTCTCTCCTCCGGCCCCAGCTTGAATTAAAAACTCGACTCTAGAGTCCGACTGCCTTGGGTCTGAGTCCCGTCTCAGTTCATGTTGTTCTGTGTTTGGGGCTAGTGTTCCAACTCTCCAAGAGCCAGTATGCTCATCTGTAAAATGGAGATAATAATAATTCCTCTGGGGTTGTTGAATGATTACATTTGTCATCCTTGTGCATAGGCAGGACCCACTGAATTTTTTTTTTTTTGGATGGAATCTGGCTTTGTTACCCAGGCTCAAGTACAGTGGCACAATCTTGGCTCACTGCAACCTCCGCCTCCCGGGTTCAAGTGATTCTCTCCTGCCTCAGCCTCCTGAGTAGCTGGGTTTATAGGCACATGCCACCATGCCTGGCTGATTTTTGTATTTTTAGTAGAGACAGGGGTTCACCATGTTAGTCAGGCTAGTCTTGAACTCCTGACCTCGTGATCCTCCCGCCTCAGCTTCCCAAAGTGCTGGGATTACAGGCTTGAGCCACCACACCTGGCCTGAATTTTAGTTTTTTAAAAAAATGGTTACATTGGATGCTCCTAGGAAAGCGGAAATAGTATCTTTAACATGCCTTCCATAGCAATAAGAATGAATGAGTTCTAGGTCCAAGTGAATATGCTTCCATCATAAGAGAATTCTCTTCTTTTAAATTGAATATGGAAAGAAATGCTGAGCAAGGTTTAGGCACTTCAAGATATTTCTTAGAGAAAATGTTGTAATCATAGTTCTTAGAAATAATAAAAAAGAAAAACATACATCAATACAGTGTAAGTGGAACCATGCTCAAAAATTAAAACCCATCAATCAAATATTTCTACCCATTACAAACATTATTTATTCAAAATAGCAATTTAGTTTTAATTACTGTTTAGGTTGTTTAGTATAATATTGATCATATAACTGGTAACAATGAGTGGTTATATTTATAATGGCAAATGTAACTCATTTGGTTCTATTTATTTTATGTGTTTGTTTTATATATGTATATATACATGCACACATAAATATATATTTGTTTTGTATATGTATATATATTCACACTCACATAAATATATATCTGCATATACTTTTTCACACAGAATTATTTGACAAAATTGCTTGACTTTTATTAAATAATTCTGTGATGGCAGAATGTGAGGAGTCCTTCCTTCTCTCCCCTAACCCCAAAACATTTACTAAGCGATTGGTAAATGGGAAGCTTTGGCTCCAGTTATCAATTATTATAGGTAATTGAAACGACCACCTTAAGCCAACTGCTCACGCACTACGTGAAATCATGACCCCCAAACTGATGTTTCCCAGTGGGGCTTTGCACTTTGAGATGCACATGTGTCCGCCACGAGGGACCTGTTTAAAAAAAGAAAAGATTTCAGTGATTATAACAATGTGTGAGAGTTCACTCATTTGTTCATTCAGTCATTACGTCTACTCTGTGGCTATGCTTTTCAGCCATATGCAGATGTTAATGTCCTACCTAAAGCTGTGTCTCTTCGTTTCTCATTGCAGAGACAGGCTGGGTGTGTTAAGCGCTGGTTATTTGTGTGTGTGTGCAGACACCCATATGATGCCCTGGAAAGGACCTCTTTAAAAGTCCAATTTGTGTTAACATGGACCTTAAGATAATTTAGGTGTGTGCACAGATATATGCATATATTAATATATGTATATATTATATAACAAATATTCATAAATTCAAGTAAGCATATATTATATGTGAATAAATATGCAAAGGATATGAACACATATTTGTTTATGTCTATTTCAGAGCTTCAAGTGAAGGTGGGTTGACAAGATGTCCAGTGTGCTAGTACGAACCTGCTCTTGCAGGAGAAGGTGTGGCTCCTCAGATGGCTTGGCAAACAAGAGGTTAAGGGAGGGGGAGAAACAGACAAAGTCAATCAAGTCAGTTAATTGCAGGAAGCAGTTGCACAGCAACTGCCTCCAGGGAAACTGTTCTCTAGGAGCAGCCAATCACAGGGGGACTAGTTCACCAGGAAGTGCTTGCTCTGCCTGCCCCATCCCCTGCGCCTGGGCTCTCCTCTGTCTGTCTCTCTATGTCTCTTTCTCTGTGCCTCTTAGGCGCTCCCTCTTGGTCTCTGCTTCTTTGCCTTTTTTATCCACGGGCTCGCTGAGACGTACACACACGTGGTTTATAGAGGCAGACAAGGAGCCCTTTTCTAGCTTGTCCCCTTCAGTTCTTTGCGCATTGCCCAGACCCAGTGTTCACCCAAGGTAAACGCAGGCTGTGCACTTCCTGCCCACGCCATCACCTGCCAGGTGAGCACAGGGCATTCCCAGAGCCGGTCATCCACGTGTTGGATGTGACATCATAATGCCTGGAAGCTGTATTGTATCGTTGTATCGGCATAAACTCCAACGTAGCCATCAGAGTAACTTGACTTATGATGGAAAATGACCTGGATGCCATATATTCTACCAGAAGATTCCTGGGCCCGTCATTTATTTTTCCTTTATCCCGTATAATGAATTCTAGATTAGCTACTCTTTGAAAAGGAACATTTGCTATCACAGTTGTGGTTAGGCTTTTAATTTTTATGAAAGAGGTACATTGGCCTATAGCCTAGAAGACTCCTATTATTTTTTGTCTCTCAAAGCTGGGGCTGGCAGGGGATTTTCCAGTATTAATTAATTAACTCCAGGCTCTTTTGGCAAAATGCCTTGAAAGGGATGGCCTGTCCTGGGTGACCCTGTAGTGTATTTTATGCCAGTGATCATTAAACTCGAAAAATGGTCTCACCTGGTTCCTCGGGACATTAAATGGAGAATAATAAACTCTTGTACTAACATAAAGGAAATAGTAATCTACTAGACACGTAAAGAAAACGGTGTAAAATTCCTTCTGCATCCTAAGGCAAATGAATATCTTAAGACCATTTTTAATGTTTTCTGCCCACGGTTCAATAAGAGTCCTGAGATATTCAGGGATCTATCACACTCAGTCATTTACAAAACGTGTAAACATGCAAGATGAAGGGCCCTTAGAGCCCGCTGTGGCTCTCCATCGCACCACAGAAACATTCACCAGCCAGCTCATTATTAGCCCGGGGAAACAGGCGGCTGATTCTTTCCGATACAGAGAAGGGGAGGTAGTGATATTTTGTAACCTCTTTAACATTCTGGAGAAGCACTAATAGAAATCAGGTTTGGGTTCAACCTTTCCCTCCCTCCCTCCCTCCCTCCCTCCCTCCCTCCCTCCCTCCCTCCCTCCCTCCTTCCTTCCTTCCTTCCTTCCTTCCTTCCTTCCTTCCTTCCTTCTGACAGACCTTTGCTCTGTGGCCCAGGCTGGTGTGCACTGGTGTAATCTCATCTCACTATAACCTCTGCCTCCCTGGTTCAACCGATTCTTCTGCCTCAGCTTCCTGAGTAGCTAGGATTACAGGCACCCACTGAAATGCCTGGCTAATTTTTGCATTTTTACTACAGACGGGGTTTCACCATATAGACCAGGCTGGTCTTGAACTCTTTACCTCATGTGATCCACCCGCCTCAGCCTCCCAAAGTCCTGGGATTACAGGTGTGAGCCAGCATGGCTGGCCTCCTGGTTTCTTTAGAGACTTCAGGATTTTATAAACAAGGAACATGTCCAGAGAGGATCCTGTGCTGTCACGAACGTGCAGTTTGGGATCTGCTGAAGGCTGTGTGACATTTCCGCGAAGCCTGCCCTCACAGGAAGTAAGAACTCTCCTAACATCTGTAACTCAAAAGGCAGTGCCAGCCTTTTCCTACCATTCCCCACACACGGAAACACACACACACACACACACACACACACACACACACAGAAATACACACATAGGAATACACACCCAGAAACGTACATAGAAAAACAGATGCAGAAATGCAAACACACACAAATGCACACACACAGTAAAAGATCCTCTTAAGAGGTTCTCCTGTTTTTCAGTCATTGAAATAAGCTGGGTGAGAGAAGCATAATTCATAACAAATTTTAAGATGAGCTGACTTAAATGAATCATCAGAGCACAAAAGGCGACGTTCGAAAAGCAAGGAATTGCGGCTGGGGAAAGTTGTGTTTATGAATCAGCCACGTTACCAGGTTTCAGTGTGAATGAGTTGAGGGCTGGGGGAGAGCCAGCACCCCAGTAGCAGTGATACATCCTTCCCCCAGCAGGCTGAAACATCCCCTGTTTATCAGCAGTGGGACCGGCACACTTTCATTTTCTCGCAGTCCACCTGCCGAAAAATGCTGTCATTTTTTTTTTTTTTGGAAAAATTAAACTGTAAATTCTCTCTCAAAGACTTGCATCTTTATGATAATTTTCTGAATATTGTCATTTTTATGAAAATAGGAGGTCACATGTACCCAGGATAATGCTGTATACAGTAGGCTGGAGGTCTCAGTGCTAGTGAGCACATACTGTGAGGTGCTGCTTACCCAGACCTGGGTGACAGAGGGACCTTATGTTGTCATGAAAAATATCTTTAAGAGTTTTGTAAATTCCGTAAGTGTGAATGCCAAGCTCTAAATTGTGGATGTGAATCGTGGTTCATAGCCATGTTTTCATTTCTCAATAATAGCCAATAAATGCACGTTATTATCACCACATTATTAACAGATGGAGTGGAAAGTTCTATCAGAGAGCACACCTGTGTTGAGCCACTACTGTGTCTAAGCCTCATGGCCGCATGATAAGGACCCTCATCCTACTAGTGTCATCTTACATACAGCAGGTTACGGCCAAGAGCACCCTGTTAATAAGTCCTCATTCTGTTCCTGTTACTCTAGGCTGCTCATGATTGAATAGCTCAGAAGGCAGGAAAACTATTGAGGCTTAATTAGTACAGGATTTGCACTTCTCTGTATGATGCAAAATTCATCACAAACCAACACTAGGATGAATACTCACAGATAGCTCTCTTTCCTGGGGCTCTTCTCTCATTCTGCTAAGGCTATAGGATGCACTTTACGCTTTGTTTCTTCAGTTAAGATTATTCTCGTGTTCCTGAAAGAAATGTTCATCCTCCCATTTTCCAGATGGGATATCGGCACACATAGCCATCTCAGCTATAAAGACAATTGCAAGAATAAGATCTCCGAACACGAATTAATGATCAAGGCTGAGTCTCCTATTGAGTTTTCCTGCAGAGGCATTTCAGGGGCCTGAATTACAGCTCAAATGGAGTAGCTTTGTGTGTGCCCTGTAAGAGGGAGGTATTGCATTGAAGCAAGTGTTGGCTCAACTTCATAATGAGAAACCTGGACACTGATGGGGTTCAGCTTTGATTGGATTCTGGAACTTACTGCACTCAGCTGGGTGTCGTCCAGCAACTGGGTGGCACTGGCAGAGGGAGGCCTGCTTCTGCAACAATTACTGGTCAATTGCAAGTGATTATAATGGCACCATGTCTAAAACAATATGGAGAAAAATGCTGCTTGGAAAACATAAAACAGTGGTGCCCTACCACAGAAAGAGCAAGTTGCTGAGAATATCACAGTAACCAGAGACGTTGGAAATTCAGATTTTTATTCTAGATCACAGGATGACGGCAGCTTTTTAAAAAATCCCCATGGTATGTTTTCAACCACGTCCTTCATCACTGGCGGTCAGAACAAGACCCGGTGGCTTTATATAGACTCTGTCTTGGTGAGTTGAGATGGCTAGACAGAATTCAAGAAAGAGCAGGGATGATCAGTCTCGCCACATGAATCCATCCAATAAATAAGAAGAACTGAGAAAAATACCTACTGCATCTAACTTCACTTTTACCAAAAGGAGCACCCCATTGGTATGGGACAGTGCAATTCCAAGAAATGACTGTTACCCACAAAATGTAATAGAGAGCCTTGTGAGCACATGACCAGTAGGTAATTGAGCTGATATTTGCAGACAGCATAGAAGAATTATCACTTTTGCTTTTACTCATTTTATTGCTTGTGAGTGATTTGGCCACAGGAGCTTTCAAGCAACTGCGGACCAGGTTACAATAGAACCAAGCTTAAATGAAGGCTGTGGGGCTCCCTCCCCAGTGGCATCTTGAGAGAGTGGCCAGTCTGCCTTGAACACTGCCTCTCTGGCACCCTAGAAGCACTACTTGGAGTCGGCCTGGGCCAGTGGGCTCTTTGCAGGCTGTCGATTGGCTGCCGCCCGCCTGCGATGGTTTCCTCACCCTGTGAGAAACTGTGACATATTCATTCTTGGCAGTCACCATCCCAGGCGTTAAATCACTGTCCTCAAATTTCCACAGTTCTGACACATATAATGGGCTTGGTAGGGGACCTGCAATCATTCTTTTTCAGTATTTATGAAATTGTGCACTCCCTATGGCTTCTGGGCCGTTCAGCTGCCTTTCAGATATCCCTCCTATAAATTTTCCGTGATTATCACTTTCTAGCTTTGAAATATACGTTTTATGCATTGTTATTGGGATACAGAGGCACCATTGACTTTGCCTTCTGTTGTTGATTTGTAATATGCATATAGCCTCACCTGCCTAAATATATAGTTCACTTGTGGCCATTTGAATACAGAACGAGCTTCATTACTATGCATCTTTCATTTCTGCAAATCTGAATCCTGTGGTTCTCCCCAATCATATAAACCTTCACACACTAAACCAAAGGTCACACCAATAAACGTTTCCCGCATGGTGGTGCCTAACGTTGCCAGAAAAGTCTTGTTTTTAGCATCCTGCGCCTCTATCTGGGATAAATTCTCTCATTCCTAGTTCTCGTGAGCAGCCTCTGTCCTCCCCTTCCCCACTGCTGCCGGCCAAATCCCACTGTCACCATTGTGGAAATGGGATTCCATGGTAAGATCGAGTCTTACCAGTCAAATTTTAGCCTCATATTTTGCAATTTATGCTCTACTGTTAGAAATGTAAGCAGTTGAGAGTGTGTCCTGTGTTTTGAGGCACAAGGCTTTTTAAATTTTTGTCTACGCTTCGTATTTTTCTACCTATGACCTAGAGCTAACTAAGGATGAGGGTCTGAAGTCCTAGGACTCAAGCAAAGGTTTAATGACACATTGACTAGGTATACTCCACAGCATCTCGGGAGCAACTTACTGCTTATAATATAGCGAAAAGGAACACTTGGGAGAAATGAACAGTTTGTTGGGACTTCCACCAAATGAGTATTATGTGGCTAGCTCCCAGCTGTCCACATTTGATTTATTCAGAAAGTTAAGTGGCTTATGTGGTCTTTTTCCTCTAGATCCTTAGCCTAAGTAAGGATGGGTAAGCAGAAAAAGAGTAGCATAGAGTCCTGTTTG